TAGCCCATAGACATCTACATCTATCTTCGATTACGAATCAAAATGTAGATGCGTTGTCGTCCGTGAGGACTAAAAGATGGAATGCCTCATTTCAAGAAAAAAGGATCTCCGGTTCTCTACACTCACCATACGAAACACAGCAGCATTAAGCTACTATTTGACGCCGGTATTCTACGAGAGCGTGGTCCTTCCCCGGTCGAGCCGACCCATTCGTGCTGCAACTAATATAACCTCAGCATGGCTCTACCACGTATAGAATTTAACCTGAAACTAGCTGCGCATGATATCTATACAAGTATAAATAAAATTGAAGTGTCTGTCTGTAGTAATATCGAAATAACTAAGGGATTTTTGGATTATTTAGTTTATACACCCTAAGAAATCCCCCTTGGGTGGATACTCGGAAACGTGTGTTCGTTTATCCACCCCAGACGGGGTGGATAATCGGAATGCCTATATTATTTTCTTCCGATTTTCTCCCACGCCTGTCTCAGTTACAGTCGTTTATAGAAACATGATGGCTGTTAGTAAATCTTTTTTGAATAATAATGACAATATGATGGAGTTTGTGAAATACAATGAAAAGACATGACTCAAGAATGAAAAATGTGTGGCTGTTTGGAATTTATTCGTAGTACCTCACAGAACTACAAATTCATTAGAATCTTGGCATAAAATTATTTCAAATGAAGAATTTAGTAAAGTTTGGAATTGCTAGCACATTGTTTGCCAAGACTTTAATAACAAAAAAGATCAAGATGACCTCCGTGGTTGTTAACGTGCGTATTAGATTGATGACCTTCGCTGTTGTATGTGCATAAACAAAATACGAATAACTTTAGGTTGCTCAAATTTCGAATAATTTTAACCATTTTACAAAAAGTTCCTGGGTAATTATTTTTTATTTAATATAATAATAATAAGGGTAATTATTGCTGATTTTATCTTAATATATATAAATTACGTGTCACGTTGTTTGTCTGCGATGGAGTTCTAAACTCCTCAACCGATTTTAATCAAATTTGCACACCGTGTGCAGTTTGGTTCAACTTCAGAGATAGGATAGTTTTTTTTCCCATGAGTGACCCACAAATTTTTTTTGCTAATTTAAGGATTTTTAATACGACATGGCAAAGGGTCATCGAAAAGGGCACAACAACGTCTGCTTGGCAAGCTAGTTTTGTATAAATTATAACTGTCCATATTTATATATTGTTCCATTTTTTAACAAGTTTCTATAGTATGTCGCATCAATTTTCTTGCTTTTATAAGAAAGCATAAAATATAACAACGAGTTAGGAGTGAACTATGTTTGCAGTTTCTCTGTGGTAGAATATCCTCACTAGACCCAGAGTAATCAATGGATCAGTATATAACCTGTTATGAACCATACAACTTGAATAGGCGATAACCGTTGGTGCAAAAAGTACTTTAGCTTCATCCTCGTAGAATCGATATGAAAGTGGCAAGATTCGTGCTTCTTTCCCATAAACATTACTTTTATGCCTTATAAAATATTACACATGTAGTAGAGGAAGACCTAAAACGAATCTATGGTGAAAGTTTATGTGGTGGAGCCACACTGCAGCTATATTATGGTTGTAGCACTAATGGGTCGGCTCGACCGGGGAACGACTACGCTCTCACATAATACCAGTGTAAAATAGCAGCGTAATGCTGCTGTGTTTCTTATGGTGAGTGTAGAGAACCGGAGACCTTTTTTCACTGGAAAAGAGGTATTCCATCTAGTTCTCAGGGGTGACAAAGCATCTTCGTTTTGATTCTTAATTGAGAATAAGTGTAGATGTCTATGTATGTATATACAAACGTAGATGGGCCACAGCATGCACTTAGCATCAGGTGGACTGTGTGCTCGTTTGTCACCCTTATTCTATAAAAAAGCGATATTTAGGTAGATTGGAAATAATTTAGCAAAATGTTATCATATAAAATATTTTCTGCTCGTTTAAAGTATTGTTTTTGTAGTGAAACTTAAATAAGTTTGTAGTGAGTGCATCTGGGTGTCTGTGACGTCATAGCTCTTAAACGGATTAATCGCTTTTGATTAAGTTTTTTTGTTTGTTTGAAAGTTGTCATTTTCGAGATTGTTCATAACTATGTTTCAAGAAAATCGGTTCAACCGTTTGAAGATCATCAGCTGTTTTTGTTTTGGAGGTTTCATCTCTATTGTAGAAAGAGCTTGCCGTAGTCACCAAGGTTGGGATTGGCGATGGCAATACTAGATGTAGCACATCTTTGACGCTACACCCCGTCACTTGTCCGGGAGTTTTGTATTTAGCTTAATATACGAGATAATATAGCGCTGTCTATCAGAAGGTTAAGCTAGTTTTTCCTTTCCACGGTATTAAATTCAGTGATGGATTATTTTACGCTTCCATCACCATTGCAAACATTTTGGTATAATACTAGTTTTTACGGAATTTATCGCGTATATTTAACTTTTTTAACTTTTTAAATACCCGACGTTTCGAACGCTTTACAGCACTCATGGTCACGGGCAGGACTGAGATGTTCAACGTCCATATGTCATAGTTAACCGCGGTTACCATAGATTAAAATTTAACTTTTGTTCCGATCTATGCAGTATGAACTTATGGTATCTTGAAGTCTTGCAGTTGTATGCTTGGGTTGGGATTTAATTTTATTTATAATAGGATCCCAAGCAGATGGTAGCACCCAGCCATCTTCTCTATTGAAATTAGGATGTTTTTTGATTTCAATAGCCTCGCGAATCATCCTTGGAAGGAATCGGTGTTCTTTAGCGAGGATCTGCGGTCTATCAAATCTGATGTAGTGACGGGGGCGATCCTGTACGTGTTCACAAACTGCAGACTTCCTGGAGCGTCGATTCTTCACATCAGCTATATGTTCTTTAACGCGGGTTTTTATTGATCTTTTAGTTTGTCCTATGTAGGAAAGACCACATGGAGGCGATCCGTCAAGACATATCGTCTATGTTACGTCGATGTTCAGTGCCTAAACCGAATCTTCCCAAAGACGAATTTATAGCGTTAAAGAACCTACGCAATAAACACGAACTTACGATTCTCCGCGCAGATAAGGGAAACGCCACGGTAGTCATGGATACGTCAGATTATAATTCTAAAATACAAGAACTTTTGTCGGATGTAAGTACTTATAAAAAGGTTAAAAACGACCCAACAAATAGCACACTAAAAACAACTAGTGACCTCATAAAGAAACACTCCGAAAAATTAAATCTGGACGTAAAATGGATAATACCTACGTGCGCCAAATCACCAAAATTGTATGGGTTACCAAAAATACACAAGTCTAATGCTCCACTACGTCCCATAGTGAGCCAAATCGATTCACCTTAACTTACAGATTAGGCTCAACACTTAGCGAAAATACTCTCACCACTCAGGGGACATACAAGAGCACACATAAAGGATTCCTACCATTTTGTCAGCGAGATTAAAGACCTACATCTGGCAGACAATGAAACTATGGTCAGTTTTGATGTGCAGTCATTGTTTACATGCTTACCTGTTGAAGACTGCATCTCAATTGTTAACTAGAAGGCTGGAAGAAAACAACATGCCCATAGAATATGCAGTATTACTCAGACACTGCCTTACATCTGGCTACCTATTGTGGAAGGAGGAGTTCTACAAGCAAGTAGATAGTGTGGCGATGGGCTCACCTGTATCTCCCATTGTCGCCGACATATTCATGGAAGACTTTGAGGAGAAAGCCCTGCTTAGTTCTCCCATAAATCCAAGGTTCTACAAGCGGTACGTAGACGACACTTTCACAATTCTACCTTTAGATAAAGTAACTGCATTTTTAGACCATCTTAACTCTATAAATTCTAAAATTCAGTTCAAAATGGAGTTAGAGGCAAACAATTCCTTAGCTTTTCTAGATGTGTTAGTAATTCGGAATCCTGATAACACCTTGAGCCATACTGTGTATAGAAAAAAGACCCATACAGATAGATATTTAAACGGTGATTCTCACCACCATCCTTCACAGTTAGCTACCGTGGGTAAATCTTTGTTTCAGAGAGCACGAGGGATCTGTGACAGTAAACACCTGGCTGCAGAGCTCCACCATGTCAAGCAAGTATTGCATGACAACAATCTTCGAGTCCCGCACCTACGTCACAGTGAACGAGTGAAGCCGGCCACAGTCGAGCGTGTACCTGCTGTACTGCCATATGTTAGAGGAGTCACTGACAAGATTGGCTACATCTTGAAGCGCGCTTCCATCAAAACATACTTCAAGCCGCTGAAGAAGATTGGTCAGTTTTTACCATCGGTCAAGTGTAATGTCCCTCTGCAAGATGCAGGAGTGTACAAGCTTGATTGTGAATGTGGTCTCTCCTACATAGGACAAACTAAAAGATCAATAAAAACCCGCGTTAAAGAACATATAGCTGATGTGAAGAATCGACGCTCCGGGAAGTCTGCAGTTTGTGAACACGTACAGGATCGCCCCCGTCACTACATCAGATTTGATAGACCGCAGATCCTCGCTAAAGAACACCGATTCCTTCCAAGGATGATTCGCGAGGCTATTGAAATCAAAAAACATCTTAATTTCAATATAGAAGATGGCTGGGTGCTACCATCTGCTTGGGATCCTATAATAAATAAAATTAAATCCCAACCCAAGCATACAACTGCAAGACTTCAAGATACCATAAGTTCATACTGCATAGATCGGAACAAAAGTTAAATTTTAATCTATGGTAACCGCGGTTAACTATGACATATGGACGTTGAATATCTCAGTCCTGCCCGTGACCATGAGTGCTGTAAAGCGTTCGAAACGTCGGGTATTTAAAAAAGTTAAATATACGCGATAAATTCCGTAAAAACTAGTATTATTTCAATGTGTAGTGTTCGCGTAAATATAAGAAATCATTATGTAAACATTTTGGTGTTATGATATTAATTTATTTTTATTATCAGTAATAAATCTGAAGTGCTCATAGGAAATTTTATTTATAGGAGGAAGCCATCATGGACAGACAGAATACTGTACAAAGTCATAGCAAACAATTACGAAAACATAACTCTGAGAGCCGATGTCGTATCTTATAATCACGTCCCACATTATACCGTCAGCGACCATAAGCCGGTGGTCGCGCTATTTAATATCAAGGTTAGTGCCTCTTCAGTATTGCTTTTGGCTTCAAAACTGCATGCAGACCAAGTGGTGTAGCATAGTATGATATAACAGCCTCTGGTATCGGTATTACTCTAGCATACTGTCGTGTAGTTTATATGTATGTACATAACATAATGAAGTCAAGGCCTACATTGCATTACAGATTTAAAAAAAAAAACAGTGACCGTTGTGTAAGCGATTGCGTATTTACATCATTGCAATTATATTCTTATACACAGCGTTTATATATATATATATATATATATATATATATATATATATATATATATATATATATATTTTTCGATTTATTAATTTAAAAAAAGTGTGCATAATACATTTACTTATTTCTTAAATAGTTATTTTCTTGCGTTGTTAAAATTTTTATCCTAATTGGACACGCCACGCCATTGACTCGGATAATTCTTAATCCAATTAAGTATAAATAATAAATTATGTAGTATTTGTAGTCTATATTATAACCATTACATTAAAATATGTGGCATCAGAAACTATAAAATGTAGATTTAAAAAGTATAACAGTAATATATATCGACGCACTCAAGATTAAGTTTACCAGATGAAAAATTGAAAGGTCCTGAGAAATAATCTGATTTCCATAGAAGTCCTGACAATTTGTTACAAACATAATTATCAAGCAAAAAAACAAACAATCGATTATTGGTCTTTGTGCACTCGTAATCCACGTCTCAGACCACCGCTCCCGCACAAAAACCTGTACTGTATTTTATTAAAAATCGAAAAAGCCTGACATTTCCAAAATCCGACTGCAATTCTGACAAGAGCCCAAAAGTCAGAACGTATGGTATCTCTACTTGAGAGTCACACTTCAAGAGTGATTGTTGATGAGTTACAAACTATACTACTATTTACATTCAAAGAGAGTACCATTTACATTCAAAGTATGTGAAACTACTAATTCTGAACCTTTTGAAATATTTTTTTATGGATTTCCCCTTTTTAGCATTTTATTTTTCACTCAGCTATAAGAGATGTTCTAAATTGCGTATAATATATGTATTTAATGAAGCAAACACTTTTTTCCTCTGTAGAGAAAAATATTTAATAAAAAGTTAACCCTAGTTGACTTTGATAGTTCTTAAATATATTTTATTAATTTAATTTTTAAATGTAATTGATTATTTTTTTATTCTTTTATTTGCTAGTGTTTACTTTAATGTCTTTGATAGGACAAAATATATAAATTTACGAAGACGCTGCGGGCTGTGTCACCTGCTAGCTTAAATCAACGACGCGATCTTTATTGACGTCAACTGACTGACGTCATTCAATCTTTGTGATTATAAGTGCGTTTTTTGTACTTATAATCACAACTTCTAACTTTGGGTCCGAATAACAAAACGTGGTCTGTTCAATATATTTTTTTTAATTTTAAGCATGAAATTGTTTTATTAAGTATTAAAGTAAAACTTCATTTGGCGCCACTTACATGGTAACTTAGATCTTTTTTCAGACGTAGGTAAAGTTCAGAAAAATCTACTGGACTCAATGGAGTTATTTAAGGTCCCAAATTTAAGGTTCTGTAAATCTCAACCCCTGAAGCTAACAACTGAAGGCGGACATTACATTCCGAAGATTTATAACATACATATATGAATTGTTGGTTTATTTATTTATTATTTATTGTACACCGAAACTTAGAGTACGAATAGAATGCAATTTCAAGTATAGCGGGTCTTATCATTTTGAAAGTGATCTCTTCCAGACAATCGTTGTGTAGAGAGTATTTTTTCAATAATCATTATTTTTTACTCAAAATAAAAAATTTTACACGCACTCTTCTAAGAATCAATATTGTTTTAAAAATTGATTATGTTGAATTTTTTTTTATCAATTAGGTACATTTTTGTTTTTGGACTATACATCTCTAAACAAACTAACAAACTGTATTTATTAATTTAATATATCGTTATTTTTGGGTACATCAACGGTATATTTAACGTAATTATCGTTGTTTTCGTACCGTGTTTGTTGGCATCACGTGCTCAAAGAGTCGCCATTTCTAATCCCAGTCTTTATCCGCATATATATGTATGCCTTACTTATTACGGTATCATAACGAGGCCATTCACGATTTTTTAACACAGCGTAATGTGTCTTCCTATAATTATTAATCTTTTTTTTTAATTATTTGCATAAGCAATTCAAATAACCAGTTTAAATTGCTTTTATTATTATAAATGTCATTCATATAGTAGTGTAGTAGTGAGTTGATTTTAGTTTATAACACTACAAGAAATAAATCTCTTGCTTTAACAACCTACATCTGACCGTGAAAAAGTAACTGAGTTAAAATGAATAATGCACGAAGTGCACGCCTTATGTCTTAATTTTTAAACATTGAAACATCAATAAAAACATGTAAATTAGTTTTATGTAAGTGAATTAATGTTTTACCTTTTATAACTCATGTTAATATTTTTATTTTACGTTTATATTTTTATTTAATTTTTTGTTGTTTTTTGGCCTCATGTTTGAAAGTCTTAAAACTAGTAGATACCTGAACTATATGTATAAAAGTATCTCGAATGGTGCTTGCTTACTGTGATTAAAGTACACCACGCCTATTAATAAATAACTAATCCCCACGGTATAGTGCCACAAAATTAGCTTCGTTTCGGTGTTACCAGTATTTCAAAAAAGAAATCGTAAAAACAAAACTAATTACACTTAAATAAATAATTAAAAGCCCTTAAAAAACTTTGTAACTATTAAAAAAATGTAATTTAGCTATTGTCAAATATCTATAGAGTCCATGACTACTCTGCGAGTAGTTAAATCCTGCTTATGCAGCATCTTTATATAATGTTTAAGTTTTCCTGCACCACCGATCATGTGGTAAATCAGCACTTAAAATTGTAATAAACAATTTCATTGGTGCCGACGGGGATCGAACCTGCTTGTACTACAACGGGCGCTTAGCCCCTGAAGCCACCACTGCTCTCTGTTACATGCTCGGTGGTGAAGAAAATCGTGAGGAAACCTGCATGTCGGAGAAATTAAAAAATATTTAAGTAGTCGTGTAAAGTTCACCAACACGCATTTGGCAGCGAATATTTCCTTACCCTATAACTCTTTTAGAAATTAGAGGAGGCCTATGCCCAGAGATGGGACGTATATAGCTTTGACAAAATGAATATAATATAGGTATACAAACAACAGGACAAAGTTATTGATCTTTTGTACATACAAAATATACATAGACTAAAAATACAACATACGACACCAGAGACATTTTACTTCTAATGCGTTTGGACGGGTTGATAGGGCATTATTGTGTAGCCCTAAAAATAAAATTCTAGAATCTATCATTGTATTACATTCTCATTCAGTTTCTAAACGAATGTTTGTTTTGACTCAAATAGTATCTTAATTGTCAACTAGAGTGTCAAATACTGACTAACATTTTACGAAGCCACTCTTGCTTATTTGTTTAAATTATTTTTAAGGGTATTTTGTAATCATAAAATAATTACACCACGTGGTGGTGAGTGGTGGCTCAAGATAATTCGTCACCCCATCTTGACCTATGGGTTTCGTAAGCGTCGACTGTGGCAAATGTCAGGAAACATCCTACGATTAGATGGCGTGATCTCATCGTATGGCATGACTCTCTTGAAAATAACAAATATAAAACGTATACAACGATTGATACGCCCAGTAGCGTTAGCACCCACATTCTTTCAACCTTTTTCGGATTAATGGAACATGATGTACGAGAACTGAGCTTCCCTTTGTATAGTCGCTTTTAACACTAACCTGCACGCTAGATCCTGCCTGCCTTCACTCGATCCGTTTTGGCTGATAAGCCAAAAGCAGCACGCTCGGCGATTAGAATGCGGGCTGGTATAGTAACGCCAATAGACGCAGCTGAGGAGGCTACTTCCATCCGTGTTTCATCTCCTGACACCGGCACTGGCAACAGCGATGATGAAAACTCTGTACCTGAACAGGTAAGCATTCTATTGCATGTGCATGTAAATGTACAAATAAATAAAATTAAATCGCTGAAGCAGATGGTATTATGTAGTAACATTTGTAGTATTTTTATTTCTTTTGTGAATAGTTTGCTGTTCCTTTTACACAATTACATAAATTTTTAGTGTTAGATATAGATATAAATCATATCATTGTACATAACACAAGGGTAAGATATAAAGTTCTCTTTCCATAGTATATAGTCTGTTCGCTTAGATAGTGTCGGTACACCCGGAGGCGCACTTATTATTTTGCTTTTATTTCATTATTGTTTTTACTGTATTTGTTAAATAAATGTTTATATATTATAAAAATGAAATAGAGTACTATTTTATTCCTATATAAAATGCGAATATAAGAATAAACTCAAGTTAGATAGCAATAAACTTTCCCCAATGGCGCTTCGTTTTAAAACGCCAAATTCTCCTACGGTTGTACGCCGCACTCGGCGACCTTTGATGTCACAGCGGCGCCTGGATGTGCACTTGCGAAGGCGGCGCGACACAAGGGCGACCGTAACTAAGCGAACATACTATACACATATTTTCCATGTTAAAATTCGAGTACATGTATGTAAGTCACTGCAAAGTTTACGATTGTCTCGTTATGGTATTAACTACTACTTCCTGATTTGCTTCATTACTAAAGCACTATTGTCATTTATCTTACAATAATATCAGTTCGTGAAAACAGGTTTAATCCATTAATATTTTATGAAACTGTCCCTGCAGTTTGATTCAATGTCTGTAATGTTCGTGCAAGCGAGTAGTTTTTGAACTTTGGTGATAGGATTATAAAATTTTTAAGGCTCAAGCTGTGAATATTAACTTGCCGTGGAACAAAAATAATCAAAGGTTTATCAGGGTTTTAATCAAGGGTAATCGGCACTTAAAATTGTAATTAACAATTTTTGTTAATTATGCTGGCGGGGAACGAAGTCGGGTTGCTCGCGTACTGTGAAATTTAGAGCGAGCTATCTCGGCAAAAAATAGTCAAAAAGAATAATAATAATAATATTGAATAAGGTTGTAAAACCAGCCAAATACCCCAGTTGGGCCTTGCTCGATAAATTTTAATTTACGTCACTATATCCTAGTTTCCCAAGGACAATAAAACGAATTAATCATCTTACAACACAATGGTCGAATGCTTACAATAGAATATACTTTTTCAAGTTTCCTATTTTACGACGTATCGCACGATATACTACGATCGATGTGATAAAGCGATAACTTGGTGATAAGTTTATTATTTATCAATAATTATCTATTTATACTAAGTACCGGGTATTATCTATATCTATGTCTAAAATATTAAACCAGGACGTACGTACGTACGTAATGAAAGTACACAATCTTGCGTTGTCGAATTTTTTCGCCCAATGTTGAAATTAAATGAGTAAAATCATCATCATCATCTTTGCAGCCTATCAAAAGTCCACTGCTGACTGAACATAGGACTTCCCATAGCTTGCTTCATATCCCCTATATTTGCCATAATTGCCACACTTGGCATTGGGGTTGGCAACCGCAATTTTTTATTCTCTAGATGTTATACCCAAGGAAGACTCGGCTGCCCATCTCCTGGCTTGTTTCTTTTTGTCGTGTTACGACATCGATGGGACATGTGAGGTTGTGGATAATCTTAGATCGCCATTACACGGTTTATTTTTTATTTATAATATATAAAATAAAATGTTTAACCATCCACGACTAAATCGCCATTGGTCGGTCAGCAGAAGCTACTCAGGTTCACACCCTAAAAGATAAGATTAATATAGCAAGTGTTTGCGATTAAATTGTGTTATTTTGTTTAATTTTACTAAAGAACGATAATTTTATACTTGAACACTTCGCTAGCTCAGTAATTTCTTACTTACTTAAATTTATTAGGTATTTATAGGGTTTATGATGCAAAACATAAGCTTTCCTCTGAATATGGGACGGTTATATGAGAAAAAAACATTATACAAATATATAATTTATTTTATGGTTTTATTTTGTGCCACAATCTCCTAGTCACCGTGAAATGGCGTATTTTTAGAATTGCCATATCAAAAAAAAAACATCTAAACAGAACGTATTAACTTCTCAGTTGTGTATAACTGCTAATCTGCTTCGAAGCGCAGTTACGACCGATCCTCCTGTTAATGGGCTCATATTAATTTAATTATGTTCCACCATTATTTTGTTGCAGACCTTCTCCAACTACACAGAGAAGATGGTGGAATTCGCCCCAGTAGTAAGGATATGGTACATCGGCGACGCCGACTTTAGGACGCAATGCACATTATCGCCCGATGTTGAGATAAACCCCAACGATTGGATTGGCATTTATGATGTAAGTATTGTTGCATGAATAAGTCAACTAGCGCCATCTAGTGTCAGGAACGAGAGCGAGGGGAGCATTGAGAAAATGACATCACAAATCGCTCAACTGACAGCGCCTAGTCGAAACTCGAACGCTCGGTACTTTCCGCGTGTTTACTTGAACATTCTGGATATTTCTTTGCTAATTTAAATATATAGGCGCTGCAAGATGCGATCGAGGCAGTGTTGATTTGGGCGAAACAAGCGAAGCTTCGGAGTGGAATTAAGTGAATTAGTGTGTTTAAATTATTAGTGTTGTAACTTTAATTGTGTAAAGTAAATTAAAGTGTTAATTTAGGTAATTTTATCGGCAATTTTTACGTTGTCACGAACCTCAAGCTCGTAACAATTGGTGTCAGAAGTGGGATAAAATCATGCCGATTTTACCTAAGGAGGAAACGGAGGGTGTCCGTACCCGAAATCAACGCCAGCAGGAGACGGACCAAAGAAGATTTGGTGGTGCAACGCGATAAGGAAGAGCAGATGCTCCTCATGAAGGACCTGCACGCTATCTTCGGAAAAGAGATACGGGAGGTGAAGGATAAGGTTGCTCAACATGACAACCGCCTGTCGGAGGCCGAAACCCGAATCGACCAAGTAAACAATCGGGTTGACAACGTAATGGCTGACGTGAAGAAAACGCTGGACGACCTCAAACTTGGGGATGGAACAACAGCTCCCGTAGTAGCTACAACACCTTCGCTACGTGGATTCAAAGTGCCGCCGTTCGACGGGACCTCTTCCTGGTCGTCCTACAAAATCCAGTTCGAGGCCGTCATGGAGGCAAACGGCTGGAATAAAAGCCAGGCCATGACTGCACTCACCTTAGGCCTGCGCGACCAAGCCTTAACTGTGTTGGAAGCTCTCGGTAAGAAAGTGACCTACGAGCAGCTCCTTGAGGCATTGGAGGCGAGATATGGCGACGCTCACCTGGAACACGTCTTTCGTGCGCAACTTAAAGATCGTGTGCAGCGCATCAACGAAAACCTGCAGCAGTGGGCTCTAGAAGTGGAGAAGCTGGTGCGAAAAGCATACCGGTCTGTACCTGCGCTCATTGAAGGGAACCTGGTTCAGACATTCATCGACGGCATCCGCGACCTTGAAGTCAGAGCTGCTGTGAGACTCGGGCACCACGACACGCTTAAGAACGCCTTGGCCCATGCACTGGAGGTGGAAGCCGTGCGGCAGGATCGTCGTTCCCATCGCATCAGGGAGGTTGCAGCAGCTACAGTTCGCGACCGCAACAGAGGATACAACCCTAGGTGCTATGGCTGTGGGGAAAAGGGCCATCTTCGATCCAGCTGCTCTAAACGAACCGTGGAAAGGAGAGTTGATCGATCTCGAGAGGGTAGTGCAGCTAACGGCACTGCCTGGCGGCGACAGGATCATCGTTCACCTCACGCTAGGGAGGTTACAGCAGTTACGGTTCGCGACCACAATAAAAGATACAGCCCTAGGTGCTATGGCTGTGGGGAAAGGGGCCATCTTCGGTCCAGCTGCCCTAAGCACACCCTAGGAAGGGAAGGTGAACGGTCTCAGAAAGGAAGTGCGGCTAACAGCACCGCCCAGCAGCAGCAGGAATACGACTTTACTATCAGACACTGCAGCGGGAAATCTCACGGCAACGCAGATGCATTGTCAAGAAGACCTTGTCCTGAAGATTGCAACCATTGTAGTAGGCAAGAGAGTAAGGAGGTGGTATCCGTAAGGATGCTCAGGACGGACCACCTCAGCAACGAATGGAAGGACAACCTACGACATGCACAGCAGGAAGATCCGGACATCAAGCCGATTCTGGGATGGATGAAGGCCCGTGCTACCAAGCCTAAGTGGAGGGACGTCTCAGCGATGAGTTCAACCACGAAAAGCTATTGGGCCCAATGGGACAGCTTGCTGATTCAGGATGGAGTCCTGTGCCGTAAATGGGACAATGGTCGAAGAGACAGCTGTCGTTTGCAAATGGTTGTCCCTAAAGCTAAAGTGCCGAATGTTCTACAGTTGTGCCATAATGGTCGTTCAAGAGTCCATCTGGGAGTTAAACGAACTCTACTGAAGGTCCGAGAACAGTTTTACTGGGTCCATTATCGTGACGATGTCGAGGATTGGTGTCGTACATGTACAAGTTGTGCGGCCGTGCGGGGACCTCGGACACGTAGTAGAGGAGCACCGAAATTGTACAATGTTGGTGCACCACGGGATAGGACAGCCCTTGACATTGCGGAGCCGTTACAGAAAGGCGCAAGAAGGACTCCTAAGATCGTCCATGTGAATCGCTTGGCGCGTTATTATGGGGCCGATAATGCTCGGGACGAGCATGTCTTAGGAGGGGGCAGTGTTGCATGAATAAGTCAACTAGCGCCATCTAGTGTCAGGAACGAGAGCGAGGGGAGCATTGAGAAAATGACATCACAAATCGCTCAACTGACAGCGCCTAGTCGAAACTCGAACGCTCGGTACTTTCCGCGTGTTTACTTGAACATTCTGGATATTTCTTTGCTAATTTAAATATATAGGCGCTGCAAGATGCGATCGAGGCAGTGTTGATTTGGGCGAAACAAGCGAAGCTTCGGAGTGGAATTAAGTGAATTAGTGTGTTTAAATTATTAGTGTTGTAACTTTAATTGTGTAAAGTAAATTAAAGTGTTAATTTAGGTAATTTTATCGGCAATTTTTATTGTCACGAACCTCAAGCTCGTAACAGTATCATAATGATTCAGCGTAAAATACAATAAAAAAATTATAGGATACAATAATTTTAATTAATAAAATACCAAAATTACATAATGTCGTTACATTTTTTACAGATTATTTCAGACTAATAATTTATAAAGCAAATTCTTAAATCTTAAAATTATAGGCCACATGAAAATGAATAGCTAAAAAATTCATAAATCAAATAAATTGATTTCTGGTAATGAAGTAGATCCATGTTTAGCAAATTTTTAAAATATTCCTGACATTTGTTGATACATTTGAATCTCACGGAATACCAGCGTAAAATAGTAGCTTAATGCTGCTGTGTTTCGTATGGTGAGTGTTGAGAACCGGAGACCCTTTTTACTGGAAACGAGGCATTCCATCTTAAACCTCACGGGCGACAACGCATCTGCATTTGTAGATGTCTATGGATCACAGCAACCACTTACCATCAGGTGGACTGTGTGCTCGTTTGTCACCCTGTCCTATAAAAAAACACGAGTTAGCTTGAGTTGTGTTAGCCCCGTGTCTGTGACACAGTGTTCTAACCAATCACTGACCTTATCACATTACATCGGGCACTGGCAGGTTAGAACGAGTGAGTGTTTCTGAGTTAATCCTATATCCTTTACGGTTGATAGCTGTTGATTGTTTTCGAATGCCTTCGTATTATATGGCTGGCGTAGACCGAATGGTTGTATGCTCGTACCTATTCTGTACTCAGTCTGAAGGCATCATGATTTTTCTAGCAATTCCTAAAGTTGATGCTTAACCACGCAACCACACATTAATTGTTAAGATTCATTCTAGGTTGTATAACATTTAATTTCAAATTGCTACCTATATACAATTTTATATATAGGATGTCCTTGTTTAATTCGATGTCAAGGTCGCAGTGCCAGTGCGTAACAAAGAAAAGGTGTTCGTGGAACTTCGATTATTTACACATCATTGATAAGTTTACATTGATAATTTTTTTGAACAATTTTTATCTGCGCTTCATAGCTAGCTTAGATATCATGATGTCTTATATTTAAGCGAATAAAAAAAAAATTAAACAATAAAAATAAAAAAGCCTTTTAATTCCATGCATTAAAATGATTTTTTGAGCATTGAAATTATTATGCAACAATTCAGTTCAGATTACCTAAATTAAATGATAACATAAATTAACATACTAATTATTTATTTTTTATATGCAGTTGTAACCATATATTAAAATATATGACATTTAGCTTTACTATTAACATAAAAACATTTGGATATTTTTAATTATTATTATTACACAAATATCAAAATCAAAATTAAAATTAAAATCAAAATTGAAATTATAAATTAAAAATAAAATTATAATCTCGTACTTATACAATTCAATCAATAGAGTAATCAATAAAGTAATATTTAATGCTAGAATGATATAAATATTTTAAATATTATAAATAGCATGGACCCCTCTCAGGTAAAGGCCTCCTCCAAGGATTTCCATTTTTCTCTGTTTTTTGCTAATCTTAACCAGTTTGTTCCTGCGATCTTCTTTATGTCATCCTCCCATCTCATGTAGGGTCTCCCTGCTCGGCGTTTGCCTGGTGGGCCCTTTCATGTGGTTACAATTATAGTCCACCTGTTGTCATCGCATCGGGCTATATGACCAGCCCATCTGAATTTTAGTGCTTGAGCGTAAGTCAGCGCGTCTATTGCTTCAGTATAGTTTCGTATTTTCGTGTGTCGTATTTTTTGTATTTTCTGTATATTTAACATGCTCCGTTCCATTCCTTTCTGACATGAACTAATTTCGTATTTAATTTTCTTCGTAATTTTCCACGTCTGGCAACCATACGTTAGAGAGGGCAGAATGCATGAGTTCATGGTTTTCTTTTTTGAGCTTTATTGACATGTTGCTTTTAAATACTTCTTTTAGGCTCCAATATTTGTTCCACGCGATTTTTATTCTACGCTGTATCTCCATTTCATTACTGTTTGTTTTGAAACTTATTAGTTTTCCAAGATAGATATATGCATCCACGTAGTCTAGCGGCCTATTTTCTAACCTGATACACTTTTTGATGCTATTTGTCATCAGCATTCGTCTTTGACAGGTTTATCTCTAATCCCATTTGTCTGCTGCTTATATTAAGGGACTCTAACATATATTGCAAGCCACAGCTAGTTTCTGATAATAACACTATATCGTCTGCGAATCTTAGATGGCTTAAGTATTTGCCATTAATGTTTATACCACATTTATTCCAGTTCAGTTTTCTTATGACGGTTTCC